CTGTCATCCACAGCATGCTGGAGTTTTGGCCTTGAATTTGCTGCCTCAGAATTAAATTACAAGGTGGCTGCCAGATCCTGACATTATACTTGCTTCCAAAGACAGAATAAAAGGAAAAGAGCCAACTGCATTTGTATCTTTTAGTAAGAGCAAAAACTTTCCCAGGAAGTCCATCCTTACCAACAGCAATTTTCTATTAGATCTGTCACGCAGACGCCCCTGGCTGAAAGAATGGCTGAGAAAGTATTTCAATTTTTCTAACCCTTTAGGGAGGTGGGCCAGGGATAGTGGCCTTCAAAGTGATTCTTTATAGCTAAACAAGGTCTCTCCCACTTCTCCTTGTGGCTTTCGCATTTACATGACAATTTTTCTATCATTTCTGGTTGTTCCTTTGGTTGCTCTGCACAATTGTTATAGAATGTCTCTATTTTTCCATTTTGTCTGATAGGTCCAGGCATATAAACACATAAACTGTGCTAACTTGGAATCTTTAAACACAATGAAAAATTTACTGATGATTTTGTAAGTCAGAAAGTGCAAAAGGGCAGACAAAGCCCCTGGACAAGATAACATCAAAAACATTTCTTTCTGTCTTGGTGATGGGAGGATCAGAGGATGGAGCACTGCCCAATTACAACATCTGGCCAATATTATCTTTTATCTGCATCTCTTGTTTTATTTACCTTAGGACACTAAGAGGATACACCTGCTAGAGAGATGATTCCTGGTGCTGGAAACAGTGAATACTCAAGGATTAGTCTATAACCAGTGTTTCTCAAAGTTTTTCCTTATTGTCCCCCTGAGAACCTTTTTAGATATTTTTTTCCGAATTGTCTCCTCCATAAAATTTTAATAGAAAAATATACTGATTATCTGTTTATGTTCTGTATGTGTACCTGTACGTTATACACAAAGAGGGCAAGATTTTTTACCCGCCCCCCTGAACTGTGAATCAACTTTTGCTCCCTTGAGGATAACATTGTTCCCACCAAGAATGCATGTTTATGTCAAAAAGAATTCTTTTTAGGAGAGGTGAATAGAGGGAATTAAGGGAATTATCTGAACTGACTCTTGGAGGATGGAAAGAACTTCACAAACAGAGACAGAAGGGAAAGAATTAGATGCATGGGAATGCAGGAATAAAGCTGAGGAGGTAGGAGTTGTTAGAAGTGGGTAGCTCAGCTGGTGTCACAGGTTTGGATGGGCAATAAAGAGAAACCATCCTCAAAGCTGTGGAAACTCTCAGGTTGTATACTCGGGAATCTTAATGCCAGGCTTCAGAGTATAAACTGTGACAAGTGGTGAATTCACTAAAGGGAAGGGAAATCATCAAGCAGTCATGGTTTGGCTGATGATTTCCAACTTGACTGGTCTCCACACCTTTGTTTTTTTACTTCTCAAAATAACTGCTTCCAAGTTAGAACAAGAGAGTCTACCTTAATAATCCTTACTAGTGCAGACCAGTATCATTCTTAGTCCCTACTGGGCAAAAAGAATTTAACTTGTACGGATAAACAATGACTGGATATCTACTGAAGCGGATAAACAATGACTGGATATCTACTGAAGCGGTACTTGAAGACATAAGAGTGTTGCAAAAAATGACTGAGTCAGGAAAAGTCTGTATAAATTATCAAATGGTAACCCCTCCCCTAAGCTTCTTACCACAAGGCAAACACCTAGAAGCTTAGACGTGAAAAAAGTTGCTTTGTGTTGTACATTTCTTCTCTAATGGTCATAACTGATTTTGACACAAATACACAAGAGGTTAAAGAGGAATGGCACCATGCTGGTGAGAAGACCAACCCATTTTTGGCTAATACACTGGAGAAATACACCTAAGCCATCCACCCATGTGAAAGCAATCTTTCTAATACCTCCAAGGTCAGGAAGACCTTTGCCATAAACAAACTAAAAAGCTGTTGAATGAATGCAAATACACCAGGTTCACATTATACATTTAAGTTAACCAACATTTCAGACAAAATTATGTAATAAAAATGAAAGTGAAACTCAAAGACCTCTTTCATTTGCTTTCTCTAATATCATTTCATCCCCCTTAGATTAACCCCCACTTTGAGAAACACACACACACACTCACAGAAGAGGATAATTTCAAGAGGTGTGCATTAAAAAGAAAAGTGAAATCTATCTTGGGAGGGGTCAATTAACACATTACAGATAGATAAATTCATTTTGTCTTTGGGGTATTAGATCAATAAATCAAAAAAGAGGAAATCTAAGTAGTTATTTCCCCAACAAATTTATGGCTCTGGACATTACAAAGAAATTTAGAGTTTATCCTATTGTATTGATTGCTCCTTTTTTCTTTAGTGAGGGAAACAAATCTGCATAAGGACTGTGCCATTCAAAGTTCAGAGGCACCCAACTCCTCCTTTCTGAATAGAGGAAACCATTAAATGAGCTGCAGTATCCTTTTACTCCCTGACCAGAATGCAAGACTTGTCAATAGGGGTACAAGTTAAAATTTCTTAAGTTTAAAAAGGGATTTCCTAAATTCAATTTTGTATCTTGGAGTGGATCCCAGATAAAAGATACTAGCAGAAAAAGTGGTGAAATCCTTATCAAGTCTGTAGTTTAGTTAATATTAACGTAGCAAAGTTAATGTCTTATTTTGATAAATGTACTTTATACAGGTTAAGATGTTACCATTTTAGGAGAAACTGAATTAAAGCTATGTAGGAACCTATGTATTATTCTCACAACTTTTTCTGTAAATCTAAAATTACGCCCAAATAAAAAGTTTATCTAAAAAAAAAAGACTTCTCTCCAGTTTCCCAGTCCTAGAAGTTCTCCTTAGTATTCCCCAGAGAGAACCATCTCTTCTGGTGACCCTAACACATCAGGAATTATTTTGCTCTTCTTGTATACAGAATCATTTAATAAATGTTTACTGCATTTAGTTCTACAAATGGCAGAGCAAAGTTGCTCTGGACTTAGAATTGGAAGTCCTGGATTTGGATTGTCATGAGCTGCGAGATCCTGTGCACATCATTTAACCTCTTAGTGGCTCTCCCTCTCCACTTTAAATCCTCTGAGGGCAGGAACTCTCCTGTGCCTATCTCTGTAGCTTCAGTAAGCCCACCCGGAGGAAAGGGTGTCAAGAAGGGGTTCCAGAGTCAAACTCAGTTTACATTTCCAGCTCCCCCACTAACCAGGCATGTTACTTTGGGGCAAAGCATTTAACATTTCTGAGTCTCTGTTTCCTCATATGTAACATGAGCTTTTGGGATCATTAAATGAGGGGACAAACATAGTGAAGGGTAGCCTGTTTCTTCTATAGAACAGAACCATTCATGTGGAATATTTTTTTATTTTTAACTTTGCAACACTCTTCTAGTACCTATCATGTGCGGGACCCCCTTCTAGGTGGTTTTCAAATAGTTACTCCTTTTATCATCCTGACAACCTTACGAGGTAAGTATTATTATTATTTTCCTATTTTACAGATGACGAGATGGAGGTGCTGGGAAGTTAACATACTTGCCAGCCCGTAAAGCTACTAAGTGGGGATCTGCACCCACACAGCCGGCTCCAGGATGTGCAGTCCTCAGACACGAGCTGTCATAGAACATGCTCTATATGGAGATGCGGAGGATCAGATACTGTCTTGCCTTCTTCACTGGCAAGCTCCTGAGCGTGCCCAGCAGGCTCTCGAACGCATACGGACAGACTGAATGAAAGCACAACAGCCCCCCCAAGGACAGGAGCTGAGTTGAGTATCTGCCAGTCTCTCTCTCAGCATCCCCAGCACTGTAGGGGAAGGGAATCGACATTCATCAAGGCTCTCCTACGTTCTAATCCACTGTGTGTCAAATGTTAGGTTCCCATTCAAGTCTCAAAACCAACCTATAAGGTGAACCACCATATTTCCTTTTTCCACCTGGAGAAATCAAAATACACAGAGAGAGTACTTAACTTCTCAAAGCCATACAGCTAATCAGAAATGCAGCCAGGACCAGAATCCCAGGATTCCTGCTTTCAAAGATCAGGCTTTTTCCAATATACTTGCAGCCTCCCAAATGAGATCATTCCTGGGTCTCTGTTTTGTCATAGAGTAGTTCTTTCCCTCTGCTTAAATACCATCTCAGAGCGACTTTCTCTGACCTCCCCACGTAAACTGTACCCCATTCACTTGCCATCCTGTTTCTCTGCTTTATTCTTCGTTGTATTAATATTTGACATCATATTACATTGGTTTGTTTACCTTCTGTCCCCCAACTGAACTGATGAACTGGTAGGTTCTAAGAAGGCAGCGAATTGTCTGTCTTGGTCACATTGTATCCCAGAGCCTAGAATAGTACCTGATGCAGAGTACATACTCAAAAAAAAAAACCAACTGCTGAATAAATGAGATAATAAATAGATATGTAGGAGATACCAGTAATAGTTTGTTATTATCCTTATTATGATTAGTAGTATCGCCTTTTATCAGTTAGGTAACTCAGTTAAGACAAAGGTTTATTTCACAAGAAAAAACTGATGGGAGACTGAGGGAACAATGTTGGTTTCAATCAGATCAAAGCACAAATTCCAAACAACACCATTAATAACTAGGAGACCGCACACTTGGGACAAGGATGTCCTCCGAGCACAGAACAGCTAGCACCACTGAGTCGCCAAACACAGCCCGTTTTCATTGTTCCTAAATCCTCCTTAGCTCACGAATACCCCTCTGTTGCTGATCATAAATGTTCTTAATTCATCTCTCATTTTTCCATCAGGAAACAATTGGCCTTGGTTTATTTTTATCACTTTATTTCCATGTTCTCGGCAAGACTGAAGCATTGATTTTCCTAAAAGATGGTGTCAATAGGCTCAATAAACCACAACGAGCATGTATCTTAGTGCCACTTGTTCAGCCCTAGCCTGAGGCAGTTCGTGCTGCAGGTGGACAGCCTCTGCTGAAATCCACCCAGCTCCAGGGATTCTGAAGGTAGCAGGAAGGCACCTCTGCTTATAAATTTTGAGTGAGCTCAAGCACTTTGATGACCCAGATAACATGCCAAACACTGCACAACTGAGAACCATGTGGGGAATCTGGAAGCCTCAAATCATAAAGTCATATTTGAAAAGTATCTCGAAATAAAGCCCACGCTAGGCACAGAATATGTGGGAGAGGGAGCCAGGGGCGGGGGTCATGCAAAGGGTTAGCTCCTTTGTTGGAATCCTGTTCTGAGTGATGGGGTAAATTGGAACAAGCCATTTCCCTGGAGTGTCTTACCTTTCATCTGCTTTCAGAAGCTTCTAGTTCCATCGTGTCCAATGCAGGCAGCGAAAGGGGGCCAGAGTGCTCACTGCTTAATAGCAGAGCTCCTTGGGCCTTGCGGACAGGTTGTCTGAACAACGTGAACGTGGTCTCTCTTCCTGCTGTCTCCAGACGCCAGTGCCACCTAGGCAAGCAGGTTTGCCATCTTGAAAACACACAGGCCAGAGCAGCCCCTCTCACTTCAGTCACCTGCGGTGTGTGTCCTAGCTTACTACAACATGAACCGCTGAGCCCGACTCTGGCAAAATCAAGCAGAGTTGCTGCTAAAAGCACACACCTGGGAGCAATAGAGAGCCACACCCCCCCGCCCTTCCCCCCCCCCCCCCCCCCCCCACCTCCACGGAGCTCCTAATCACTCCACTCACCCTGGTTCCAGCTCTAGAAGTGCAGTAGACTCAGCTGGTGAGCTTTTGAAAACTGTAGATTCACCTGCTTCACTTCAGACCTACTGGTGAAGAGATGGGGCCAGGGAGAGCATTAATTAGGGTCAGAGAATCCATGTTTTTAAATGCTCCCAATGGATTTTAATAGGCCCCTCAGCTGACGTATGTCTGAGAACCATTTCTTCAAAATGCCAATGGTTCTCAAACGTGGCTGCACATTACCTGAATTATCTGAGAAGCTTTTAAACAATATTGATGCCTGTCTCTCGCTCTAGATTAGGGTTTCTGTATGGCGGGGGCTCAACTCGGGTCCCTACCCAGTGATGGCCAAGCCTTCTCCCCTCCCAAGCAAAAATATCTCCAGACATTGCCAAACGTCCCGAGAGACAAAATCCCCTGCCGTTCCTCCCCTGGTGGTAATGACTTGTCATCTTATGTTTTCCAGCACGTTTTCATGTGCAGTCTTTTCTTACCTCATTTTCCTTACATCCATCCATGCCCTTATAATCCCTGGTCAGGTTGATATGTGTAGCTTCAGAATACATGGGCACATGTGTTTTAGAAAAATACTGAGTCCATAGCGTGAGCTCTAGGCCAGCTGGCCTGTATATCTTATGTTACATGTTCACAGCCAATATTTGCGTTTGCATTGACTTAAACAATTCACAGAAGGGGATGGGCAACTGATAATATATTACTAATGAGGTTAGCAATTAAAAAAAAAACAAATTAATAGGACCCAGAACATTTTTTTCTCTACCATTTTGGCAAAATGGACTCACTCATTAAGTATCTTATGAGTGTTTACAATGGGCCAGGGAGGGAGCAACACAAACAAGGTTGTTGCGACGATGCAGCTTATTCTCTAGAAGGGGAGAGAAAAACAATGTGCAGGATTACACACCAGGCAAGATAATTTTACATAATCTTAAGTGCCATGAAAGAAACAAAAGAGGGTGACACGGGTGGAGAACCTGGGGCAGCAGTAGACTACTGTAGGGCATCAGAGAAGGCACAGTGGACGTGACTTCGAGCGTAAAACCGGTGCTGTCACCCTCTGCTGGTGACACGAAAATTGGTGTAGTCTTTTAGGAAGGTAATTTGTCAATATATATCAGGGGGTATAATAATGTTCATATTATCCAATCATTTAACAAATATGAGACATCTCTGAAAATATGCCCTATCGATATCACTGCTGGGACAGTAACCACTATGAAATAACCCAATACTACAAAAACTTCATAATATTTATAAAATTATCAGCTGCTGAACTGTCAACAAAAGGGGATGGTTGGATGAATTCTGACAGATATACTAAAATGCGGAGGATGCTTAGGATATAATGTAAAAATGTTATATAAGTTGTAGAATGCTGAAGATACAGTCAAAAAAAATAAACAAAAGTTACAAATGTGTCTATACATATTGATTGTATGTAAGACTAGACAGGTAAGAAAGATGGAAAGGAAATTCAACAAAATAATAACAATCATTGTACAGGAGGGGGCTTTTATTAGGGATTTTTTCCCCCTGCTTTTCCAAGTTTTCTGATTCACTGTTCAAATTTCTAAAATAATGCTTCTGACTTTTGATCCTGACTTTTCCTCAATTTTTAACCTATGCAATCCAAATCTGATTCCTCTTTTGAGGGTCGCCTCATATGCTACATCCAATCAGCCTCATCTGACTGCCTCGACCCCAGTAATAATTCATTGTTTTCTGTCCATTGCTCCAAAGAACATTTTTGCCTTTCTGTTATGGGCTAAGTTTTTTGTCCCCTCCAAATTCCTATGTTGAAGCCCCTAACCCCCTAGTGCCTCAGAATGTGACAGTATTTGGAGATAGGGCCTTTAAAGCAGTGATTGAGTTTAAAGGAAGCTGTGAGGGCAGGCCCTAATCCAATCAGACTCATGTTCTTATAAGAGGAGGAAATCTGGATGCACAAAGAGACACCAGGGATGTGAGCACAGAGGAAAGACCACGTGAGGACACAGTGAGAAGGTGGCCATCTGTAAGCCAAAGAGAGAGGCCTCAGAAAAAAACAACCCTGCCAACACCTTGATCTTGGACTTGTCTCCAGAGCTGTGAGGAAATAAATTTCTGTTGGTTAAGCACCCAGCCTGTGAAATTTTGTTATAGCAGCTCTAGCTGACTATTACCTTCTTACTGTAGTTCTAACAGAATTACCACTAGCAGTGTGCTTATCTTTCTCTTCCACTAGCTAATTTGCTGATCGAGCAATGGGCTCTGTCTTACTTGCCTTTAGGGTAACTTCAGTGTCTTTTACAGTTCCTTGCACGTGGTAGTCATTCAATAAATGTTGGACAAAATGAATTATCTGAACTTTTTTCCCTTAACTAATCTCGGGACAAAGTGTCTACAGAATTTTAATAAGCAGTGTCAAAGAATACGAACTTTCAGTTATAAGGTGATTAAGTTCTGGGGATCTAATGTATAGCATGGTGATTATAGTTAATAATACTGTACTATAAACTTCAAAATTTCTAAGAGAGTAGATCTTAAATGTTCTCACCACAAAAAATGAAACAGTAATTGTGTGAGTTACATGATGGAGGTGTTGGCTAACATTACAGTGGTGATCATTTTGCACACCTTAAACTTACACAATGTTGTATGTCAATTGTATTTCAGTAAAGCTGGGGGAAAAACAAATTTAAACAAGCAAAAAACTAATTAAAAAAGAAAAAAGTCAGCTCAAAGGGGAAATTGATATGTTATAAAAAAAACAGCAACAACAACAAATAAGCAGTTGGTAGAGATTCTCTATGAAATATGGACTTATTTCTACTCCAAAATAAGCACCTGTTATGCTTCAAAAACTAGTCAGCTCACTACAAAAAACTCCAAATTTTTGTGGTGAGTTTCAGGAGCATCAAATTCTCTTTCTAATGTCTATATTAGCACCATAGATGCATTTTCAAAGGGATAATTTGGCAAATAATTTGCTCTTTCATACACTGAAATCTCACTTTTGAGTATGTTCTAAATTTTGACAAACTTTCAAATATTATGTGTATATGATACACATACAGAGGTGTGCCTTTATATTTTCCAAGTGTGTACCTCAATTCAAATAATGGTCTATGAGCTCAGTATTTTAAAATATTTTAGGTCCTTGCATTTCAAAGTTTGGTCTGTGAACCAAAAGCTTTATCATCACTGCATTTGTTAGAAATGCAGAATTTCAGACTCCACCCTGACCTACTGAATCACAGCTTGCTTTTTAAGGAGATCTCCAGATGATTAGTATGCTCATTAAAATTTGAGAAGCACTGCTCTAAAATATGGGCTCTCAAGATTAAATGACACGTTCAACTTCTCTATCTTTTCTATTTATCGGATAGATTAAAGGATTAGACTTTCCCATAGTTAGAACCAAAGCTATTGTAAAATTCTTCATGGTCTTTGTTTCCTATTTAGGCAAAGGTAAGGACAATCAGTCAGAGTCATTTTGAATTTAGGAAGTATATCTAGTTTAGTTTTTCTGTATTTACCTGTAACTTGGAGACAGTGTCCTAGGTAGGGGGATGGATGGCATAAAGAAATCCAGTGTCCTTTAAATAAATCACAAAGTCAATAAAGAAATAGGTAAAGGTTCAAAGGTTCTTCAGAATCTTCCTGAAAAGACTTAAAGCCAACCTGAACATGACAGTACAATTTTAAAATAATAGGCAAGTCCTGAGTTTCATGGGTAACAGTGAAGGTGATTGCCAGAAGTCACTCTTCTTGAACCTGAGATTAGTCAAACGCATTTTAAAGAAGGTTTTGTGCTCTAATAGTAATTGTAAATAAATATTCACATGGATGTGAACAAACATCTCTGTGATACATAGACACAAAATATTGACTCCTTTTCCCCTACCTTCAGGCACTGATTTCACAGAAGAATTCAACTGTATTTATTATGGCTCATGTACAAACATAATGGTAAAAATGCTTTATGGGTATAAACACATTGCTTCCCAGGGGCTCAAACTGCTTTCTAGACATTATCTCATTAATTGCTCCCTTAAATCTTTCTCATTGATTTTTATGTTTTTTGAACCAACAAGTTCACTATTGTTTGCATATGAAAGGAAGAGTTCACTTCAGTTAGAAATTGAGATCTTAAGCATTTTTGTAACTGTGATGTTATGTCTTAACTGACAAGGAGTTACTGGGAACTTTTCAATGGGAACCACATTTTGAAACCAACCCCAGCACCGTGGCTAGACCCGAAGCCTTGAAAGGTACTGCCTCTGCTTCCTGGAGAGACTCCGACATGTGTGAGTCTCTCATGAAAGCAAACTTGGGCACCAAGAGGCCAGGCTGCAAATGTTTACTTTACTGAATTGTTGATTCTGGGAAAGGTCTCCCTTTTTGCATATTGCTGTATTTTAAAAATCAGTTAGAGACCAAATGGTAGAATTAGAAAAATACCGACTTTTGATCTACAAATGAAATAACTGATTTGGATAACAGACATCCTTGGACAAAACTACTAGATGAAAGGTACTAGATAAAACTACTAGATGAAAGGTACTAGATAAAACTACTAGATGACCAAGGGTCAGATCGCAGAAACTCTGTGAAGGGAAGGTGGTCTGAGGCCTGGAGATAAACAGGAATACAGAGCAGCTTGAGGCAACTGTTCAGGTGCAGTGAGGCCCCAGGGGGTGGGGGCAGAATGGTCACCTGAGTCCTGTAGATCTTGAACATAAAAGACAAACATTTATGTTTAATGACATTAACAACAAACACTCCAACTCGGCAATGCCACCCCTTAGGAATTTCTTCTGGTTGAATAAAGGTAGAAACAGCCCAAATATCCAACCATAGGAGATTTGCTTTAAAAAGGCATTAGATCCATACAATGGATCACACTCCAACTATTAAAAACATAGGACTATATTTACTGACTTTAAATGATGTCCATTAAATATTTAAGTGAAAAAACATGAAGTTAACTACCAAATGCATGCTAAATTCTATTTTTATATAAAATGGCTTATTTTCACAGAGAACATCCTGAAAGAATTTATACCGAAAGACAATAGCTGTTGCTAGGGGATACTGTTTCTTGTGTTCTATATTTTCCTTTGCTTATTCAGTTTTCTAGTTTTCTAAAATGTATTCCTTATATACTTTAGAAAAGGTACACAATTGTCTCTTGTGGCAAATCTACACATTTAAAGAAGAAATAGTGCATCCTAAGTAACAACAGGAGAGCTGGGCTTCAGGAAATAAAGGAGTGGGTTCTAATGTCAACTTTTCTTTCAGGTACCAAAGTGTATAAAGCAAGGTTTCCCCAACTGCTTCCACGGGATGTGAAGAAATTTATTCTGAAGGTGAAGGAGGTATGTCTCTGTTCAAAAAATACTAGAAAAGAACTGAGGAAAATAAGCTTAAATTGGTTTCTTCACTGCAGAATTTCTCAGAACCTGAGAAATTAATATATTCTCTGAATATGTTAATACGTTAGGATTTATAGTTGTAATAAATTTCAAGACAAAGAAATACTTTTTGATCATAGAAACGTTTTCTTTCTCATACACATTAATAACTCATTGGGACACAGTTTGGGAATCCCAAGAAAAGACTGAGGCAGGTGTTACGTGAAGCAGTGATTCTTTTTAGATTCAGCTTCTTCATTTGTAAAATGAGAGCAGTATAATCTGACTTTATATTAAGAAAGCAGAAAACTTCCATTTCTGTAAGGCCTTCCAATTTCTGAAGCAACTTTTTTTTTTGCATATGCTATCTTAGGTGATGTTTCAAAAGCAATCTTTCTAAAATGGCTTTGGAAATCTGAAGGTAACATGAGGTAAAAATGTTTAATAATAGTGACAACACTAATGATATACTGTCATCTAATCCAGAGGTCAGTAAATCATTTCTGGGAAGAGCCAGATCACTGATATTTTAGGCTCTATGGGCACGCAGTCTCTGTCACAACTACTCAGCTCTTCTGCAGCAGCATGAAAGTACATAGTTGTATGCAATGTGTAAGGCAGTCAGCGTGGCCATGTTTTACAGAGACTGTGTTTTTATTAAAACTGTCAGTGGGCTAGACTTGGCCCATGGGCTGGAGTTTGCCAATCCCTCATAATCCACTTTGGGGAGACACCGAGAACTTGTTTTTGTCATGGGACTCATGGGATCCGAGTATTGTTTATATTTCCAGAGAGAGATAAAGATTCTTTTATCAAGTCTAGTTTGGAATAAATGTACATCTGTTCTGCCATCCCCTTTAAAAGAAGAAAATGGAGGGGGACCCCAAATGGTGATGAGGAACATGGGGATGTGTCCACTAATTTAGACCTAATGAAACCAAATTAAGGCTGTTTTTCTGATTAAAATTAGGAATGTTTGATAATTCATGCTGGTAATTTGGAGAAGGACAACTCTCTATGTTTATTTCTAACATCATTACTTACCATTTGTGAAGGGAAAGATACATAAAAATTGTCATCTCAAGTAATTAAAAGCTCCTAGAGGGAAAAAGAAGATACAGAATTTTGGAGAAGTGCTTTAGTCTGTGTTGACATGTACTAATTTTAAGTGTTAGATTGAATTAATTAAATATGGGCTATTTAGCCAAATTAGTCAAAAATGTCGAAACCCTTTTTTAGTTTCAACACGTTTAAGTTTTAACTTTCTAAAACCTTAAGTGCAGACTCACAGCTTGTAAACACATATCTTCAGACTGAAATTCCCTCTGGCTCTAACCTGGCGTTGCTTAGATGATACTTGATTTATGTGTTTCTGTGATAAAGCCAGTTGATGTGCTCGGTGGAAATTCCAGGTTTTGGTTGAGACAAATAGAACCACCATTTCACATTCACCAATGTGTACAGTTTAAACATTCCTGACAGAAAAAGTTGAGCTGTAGTACCCATTCTATTTCATTAACATGAATAAAATCACTCATAGAAGTTAATTTTAAGGACTTCAACATTCATTTGGCTATGGTAGAAAGCCTAACTACCCATTCTACTGTTCAGGGCCCTCCATAACCAGGCTGGGGCTCTTCAACACGTTTACCCCCTCCCTACAGCAAGCTCTGTGAGGCAGCCCATCACTGGTCCCCGCACATGCCATGCTGTCTGACCTCTTTGCCCTTCTTCCTCTCCTGTGCTTGTCATGCTCTAAGCATCCTTCCGTTCTAACTCAAATTCTTCCCCTAAGAAACCTTCATGGACGACCCCAGCCCAAAGTGAGTGTTTCCTCATGTGAATTCCTAAAGTATTTACTCATTTGTCACATAACAGATATCACCTTTGAGGTTTTGTTCTGTTTTGTTTTTATTAAAAACTGTATATGTTTAATATATATAATTTGGTGAGTTTGGACATAGGCATAGTATTTGGGAACTATGCAATGATAGTACCCATGTGGTGTTAGCATCACTACAGTCAAGGTAATGTTCGCACCCATCGCCTCTAAAATCTCCCTGTGTCTTTGTGTGTGTGTGTGGATGTGCCTGTGCGTGAGGATATGTGTATGTGTGTGTGTGTGTGTGTGTGTGTGTGTGTGTGTAAAAACACTTAACAGGTAGTTTACCTGCTTAACAAATTGGCAGGTTCACGACACTGGTTGTTAACTGTGGGCACAATGTCATGCTCAGATCTCAAGAAATTATTCAGCTTGTATAACTGAAGCTTTATACCCTTGGAATAAAAACTTCCCATATCCCCCTCCCCCCAGCCCCTGACAACCAGCATTCTATTCTCTGTTTCTATGAGTTTGATTATTTTAGATACCTTGTATAAGTGAAATCATACAGTATTTGTCCTCTGAGAACGGTTTATTTCTCTTAACATAATGTCCTCCAGGTTCATCCATGTTGTTGTAAAGGGTAGAGTTTCCTTCTTTTTAAGGCTGAATAATATTTTATTGTATGTACTTACCACATTTTCTTAATCTGTTCTTCTGTTGATGGACGTTTGGATTACTTCCATATCTTGGCTATTGTGAATAATGCTGCAATGAACATGGGGGTGACAGTGTCACATCTCTAAGCTCCTAGAGGCAGGTACAATCACTTTTAAGCTTGTATCCTCAGGATCTAGCATATTACCTGCATCTTATGGCCATTTTCTCAATAACTATTTGTTGTCAAGACAGCTAGGTGAATGAACAGGTCATCAACCCAGCAAGGTTGTAAGGGCCAAAAGTGGCAATTAATATATAGTGATTGGGATGGTTACTTTTATATCAACTTGACTGGGCTAGGAGATGCTGCTAAAACATTATTTCTGGGAGTGGCTATGAGGGTGTTTCTGGACGAGATTAGCATTTGATTCAGCAGACTGAGTAAAGAGATGTGTCCTCCCCAGTGTAGGCAGGCATCATCCAACCCATTGGGGGCCTGAATAGAACAAAAAGGCAAAGAAAGGGTGAATTCCCTCTCTCTTCTTGAGCTGGGACATCCATCTTCTCTTGTCCTCAGAAATCAGAGCTCCTGGTTCTCAGGCTTTCAGACTCTGGGACTTAAACCAGCAGCCCCTCCGTCCTCAGGCCTTCGACCTAGGATTGGGAATTACGTCACTGACTCTCCTAGTTATGGAGCCTATGAACTTGGACTGAATTGACCACTAACCTTCCTAGTTCTCCAGGTTGCAGATGGCACGTTGTGGGATTAGTTGGCCTTTATAACTGTGTGAGCCAATTTCTATAATAAACTTCCTCTTACATACATCTATATATATCCTATTGGTTTTGTTTCTCTGGAGAGCCCTGGCTAGTAGTGATTTAGTTGAGTTTTATACTTATTAAATGATAGTGCCATCTCATGATTTTAAATTCTAAAAGTGAATTAAAGATATATACATTGGATATCAGTGAAATGAGAATTCCAAACTAAAGGTCCAAGATTTAGATAATCTACACTGAAAAAATGATACATGGAACAAGAATTTTAAAAAGTGATAAATAACCCAACACTTTAAGTTTATAGAGCATTAGAACATTTCCAATAAAAAATCATTAAAGATAAAGAAATTATACTATACAAAGTTTTGTAAGAACAATCGTTTAAATTTTTTTTAAAAAGTTCAAATCTACAAATGAAAATCAGTTGGAGTAGGGAAGCACCTGTCCAGATATTCTGGCAAGAAAAGTTGCTATCAAGGGGGACTTATGAGCAGTGAGGGGCATGGCAGAAGTGAAGAGAGCAAAGTACGCCATGACCAATGATTCACACTAACCAGTAATGACACTGTTTTCTACTTTATCTTTACCCTCATCATTGGTCTAAAAATTGTCACCTGGATGAATCCGGTGGAAGGAAAAACTGTATTTGTAAGCATAGCATTATGGTACTGCATTTTTCTTTTCCATAAGGAGTTTTTTTTTTTTTTTTTTTAACCGGGAGAAATTCCATTCCTAGGTTTTCATTTAATTTTACAATTGACAGAATTTTTGAGCATTTTCCACTTCTTATTCTTTATCAAAATGGATTAAAAAACTGGGAAACAAGAAGTTTCATCCCACACTGAAATAACCTGAAATAATTTACTGATTTTGCTTTTTGCTGAAGCCTTTCAAAGGACCACACAATCGAATCATGGTTTAACTTAAGCCTCAGATGTTTCATATGACTATAAACCACCACACTTGTTCAACTTCTCACCTTGTAGAGTTCTGTACTGCAGAACTGCACAAATGCATACATAAAAATAAAAGCAAGTAATTACAACATGAATACAAATAAGGTTTGCGGTCTTATGGATAAGGTAGCTGAGATGATCTTATACTGGAGACACCTGTTTTGCTCTTCTGAAGCTGCATGATAAATACACAAAACCTGTGTCCTTGCTTCTGAAAAAAATCAAAAATAGAACATCCTACAGAGATAATATGAACCAGGGTGGGAGATATATGCTTGAGTTCACTGCTTTGCTTTATCAAGACAGAAAGGCAGAGTTTCTTAACATTTTTATCCTTCCTAAACTCACTGAAATGCAGGCCTAGAAACAACTAGAAATTGTTTAATTTGTAAGCAATTGGTGAGCTCTGCTTTGGCATGTATTTTTCCCTCTTAATGTCTCTTCCCCTAAGAATCAAAAGAGGAGAAAGTTTAAAACCCTGAGAAGGATAATGCAGTGAGTGGGGAAGGGCAGGCTGGCACAGTGATAATTAATAATTTAATAATTTAAATGTGCTCTCCCAAACTGAGCACCTGATAGGCTGCCCGGGCTCCATCAGCATAGAGGCAGGTGTGAGCCAGGGAAGACAATTCTAGGAGGTTGACTGAGTCCCTCTGGGGAAATCCTGATCAAAGGAATGATTAAGGGGGGTTTCAAGGGGTCAAACTGAAGTCCTTTGTTCTTTTTATTATAGAAAAATCACCCAATTTGGACATTTTTGTTAGAATATACATTAGCAATTAAATATGTATTTGCCTAGCTGAGCAGAAACTATAATTTTCTCTTAATCTTCTAAATTCAGCTTTCTGGCAGATTTAAATCAGAGGATGTCACTAAATATAAGTGTAAGTTCCATTTGAGCGTCATGAGTGAGTCTGTCCAGATTGTCCCGCCCTCCCCAGGAGCTGGCACAAGGCTCGGTACAGAATATGTTCTCATGTTCAATTGATACATTCATATATTGCTTGATACATTCATGCAATACATTCAGAAATAAGCTTTAAAGCTGGAAGGAACTTTAGATAAAAATAATTCGGTCTAATCCCCCACATTTTGCAAAACTGAGGGCCAGAGAAGCTCAAAAGTATACACATAAAAACTTGTGCATTATCAAACGTGTGGATAAAATAAAAGGGGAAATGTGAAGTCAGGTTTTCTCCCATCAAGATTAGTGCTCTTTCACTACCTTATACATCCCAGAGATGAGAATTTGAAAACGTCCCTTTATGTACCAAACGCCTACACCATGTTAAATCTTCTAAAATGCCCCACATTCTCAAATAAATGATTTCCTTAACTTCTGGTCAGTGGATTCCGGCTTCAAATCACACTCTCTCCAAAATCAAGGTCAAGGTCAGAGGACCAAGAATTGCAGCTGCATACAGGGACTTCTGAATCTCAGGTCCGGAGTCTGGATCTTCAACTATCTGAGCTAATGTTGAAGTGTCAACATTAGCACATTTGAAGTAATGGAAAGAGCTTATATCTTGTTAGCACTAATATCACTATCAGAGTGCCAGGACCATTATTTTATGGTTGTAGATGATGAGTTTTGTATTTTACTGATTGATTGATTGATTCATTCATTTATTCAGCTTCTGTTGTAATCTAGCACTGGATGCAGTAGGAAAGGTAGATAAGAAAGCTAATATGTAATAAAAATTTATAATCAAGTGAGAGAAGGCTTCATAATCCAGTGACGGTTCCAAGGAGGTAGTATCCCTAAAGGTCAGGATCTGTAGCATGAAAGATTCATGGGAAGGTCACCAGACAGAGACGTGGATGACAAGTCAGGGCACTCAGGCACATGTAGGGAATGGAGCCCGAGAGCTCCCCCACTTTGTAGGCATGGTGAACATGACACACAAACCCTGTCCTGCTGGGGAGCAGCCCCCTGTTCACACTGGCTAGAAGAGGACTTAGAAGAGGAAGGAGGAGGGATTAGGGTGGGTGTGGCAGTAGGCGCCAGATGGTGCAGGGTCTGCAGTGGCACACCAAGAAGTTAGACTTTTCTTCTTTTTTAGTAGTCAATATGAAGCCACTGAATGGAGTAGCATGACCCTAGGAAGCTCATCCTGGCAACCCCTTGAAAGCTGGAGTCTAGGAAGGAGTTAAGACAGGACAGGGACACCTAGACAAAAAAAATCAGGCCAACTATTTCAGTAAGATCTGCTGCTCCAAAAAGATCAGAAGTGCCTTGATGCCAGGGCTTATGTCATACTCAACAATGTACCAAATGTCTGGCATATAATAGGTGCTCCATAGATATTTTATCAAATAAATGAGCACAGAACTTTATTTCAGGTGTCCCTCTAGAAGGAGTATTTTTTCATGAGGTCACGCAGGCTGAAAGCTTCATACCCTCTTTTGAACTATAAATTAGATTTTTAATCATTCTAAGGGAAAAAACAGGGCCAAAATGAAAGCAAAAGGTATATTTATTTCTCTAATGAAGCATAGCTGTTAGCAACAGTCCCCTAAATATGGTGCATGGAAGGAGGTGACAAATTTCCTCCAGGAAGGAAGGGGCAGTAGGTTTTACTTAGATAAGAAAGATAGTCCTACAAAGACTTAGACTCCAAAGATAGTCACTTGGGTGGTTCTGGTAACATTGAGGCTTTGCTGTCATCATGGTTAGAGGCTGAGCAATCATTGCTCCTGTCAATCTAGCCATCAAGATGGTCTAGGAGGTCTCAAGCGCTAATTCAGTGCTGCAGGAGTGTAATCAGAGTGTCTGTGGCTCATCAGCTGCTCAGGGACAGGTGTGGGATGCTCTAGCTACTGGTTTTTAAACCAGAGCCTAGCCAGTGCTTGGAGAGAACTAACTTAAAGGGACAGGAAAATAATACTAATAGAAGTTACTCTTTCCTGAATGCTCACCATGTCTAAGGCACTGTGCTTAACATCTTAAAGGCATTATCTCATTTAGGCCCCCCAAAAACCTCTATGAGGTTGGGACCATTATTATTCGCAGTTTACAAATGGGCCAACTGAGGCTCACAGAAGTTAAATAATTTGCCCAAGGTCACATAGCTGGGAAGCGGCAAAACCAAAGCTTGGATCCACTCCCAGATATCTGCCCCTGAAGCCCATCCTCTTTAACCACGAATACAGACTGGACTTAGCAAATAGTAATGATGTGCTTCATTTTGGTAGCACTTGACTTCTCGCTTTGGGCCCCTGTCTTTTTTTCACTGAAATCAGTAATAACCTTGTGAGGTGGGTAAAGCATGGGTCATGGTCACCTTTTGACAAATTAAGGAACTAGTGCTAGATAATATGGCATAGACCTGAAGAGGGCTA